CATTCTCATACAATCACATAACAAAACAACTTAAACTAGGACATTTTTTATGGCTTTCAGTTTGCAGGTGATCATATCAACATGTTGGCATGCTTGATTTCCGAGTCTGTGGAGCCGTGGAATTGTACTGTGGAAGGCGTTTTTTTTTTAGAAAAAGAAGGTTTGTTGAAGAGTTGAATGTGCCTGAAGTGTGGAGGAACTTGGAAATTAATTAGGCCATATTCCAGCACAGGCCTAACTTGAGTTATGTAGGCTACAGAGTTCTCAGAGCATTAACATCATGTCCGCAATCTACCACTTCTAATGAAAACATCCTAGAGCTTTAGAGGCTTTATTGCAGATTGTATTTATATGATTAGGCCTAGGTATTGTATATGATAGCTACTCTATGTTTTAGTTTATAATTTTTGGGATAAATAAACGTTTTCATTTCATTTATCAGGGTTTAAATCATAAGACATTAAAACTCCTAGATCTCGTATGGCACTCTTCCGTGACAGGATGCATTATTCAATCGTGTAGAAGAAGTCAATATGTTGCTCGGTATGATGATAATATACCAAGCTGCAGATTTCGAAACATTTATATCCATGCTGTAAGCCAGGCACCAGTTGTCGATTGAGTGCAAACATTGTTGAAATGAAATGAAATGAAAAATCCTTTATTTTTTCAGGCAAAGTTAGGGCCACATGGCCCTTTCTTACACTTAACCTGACATTAAAAACTTAATCTATAATAAATAATGTAACATAGGGATAACTTAATCTAATTAAACATAAAATATTTAACAATTCAAGTACCTACATATCTAAAAAAAAAACATAAAAATTTAACAAATAGAAAAACACATTCACACACTCTCGCATACACGCATCAGCAAACGCGCAAGGTAACAGTAGCCCTAGGACACGCCAGCCGAGACCATCTTCTCAAAATAGAGCTTTTTCAGTGCCGCCACAAACTGGGAACGTTTTTCAAGGGTCTTAATGTGTAGGGGTAGGCCGTTCCACAGACGACAAGCGGCAACAACAAAAGCCCTGCCATAAGCTGTGGTCACATGATGAGGTATACGCAATGTAATCGAAGAATAACGAGACATTCGTGATCTACCCTGAGACACAAATTTAAAATCGGATTTGAAATATTTTGGGGAGCCTGTTTTCAAAATTGAAAAAACCAATGACAAAATTTTAATGAATCTTTGATCATTTAATTTCAGGATGTGTGCCTCAAGGTAGTATGGCGTGATATGCTCCATACGTCGCAGACCATAGACAAATCTCAAACAATAATTCTGTGACCGCTGGAGCATACCCGCCTGAGTCGCAGTCAAGTCATTGATCAATGAGTTGCAGTAACTGAAGTGGGGTAGTACAAGTGATTTGATCAAATGTAGTTTAGTGTGTTGTGGTAAAAAATTCTGTAATCTTTTCAATGAATGTATGGAGGCAAAAACCTTTTTTCGTGTGTCCGTAACTGCTATGTCCCAAGTAAGTGAAGAGTTGAAAGATATACCAAGATTCTTGACATTGTCGTAGTATGGAAGTGCTTTGCCATTAACTGTGATTGGGTTTATGGAGTCTAAGTCAATTGAAGGTCGAAGTCGAGAATGGCTAATGACAATCGGTTTCGTCTTTTCGTGATTTAGTCTCAGTCCATGATTCTCAGTCCATAATTTTATTTATACTTTTACTTTCCATACTTTTATTTACTATTGTTGAAGGGAGTTTGAAAAGTATGCCTGAGACTTAATGTAGGTACACTGTTTGAAAATCTTGATATCATCGGCCAACAGCAAGCACTTAGAGTTGATACAATCCACAACATTGTTAACAATATGTAGGCTAAGTCAATGACACAGGTCAACTAGGCTACTCTTGTTATGAAACCCTACTTGGGCTGCGGTAGGCCTACTATAATTTTTTGACTGACATTTGAAAATTTTATGATGTAGGTAGCCTACCTACTTTGGTAAATGAGATCAAGGAGAGTAACCTAACTTAAAATAAGGCCTATTTCAAACCTTCTCTTACTAGGCCATAAGATAAATCCGCATGAAGCTACAAAGTTGGATTTGGGGATTGTTCAAATTTTACTTCAACAAAACAACCATTCTAGGAAACGGATGCACTTTTGTTTACGTCCTACATTTACTTTTAATAACTAGGCTACCAGTCGATTATAAAATGAAACTGTTCTAAACCTAACCAACCAAACTGCAGTAGGCTTAGGGCCTATGTGAGTAAATGTAGGACGTAAACTTAAGTGCAGCCTAGGAAACTACCAATTTGCTAGTGCAGGAATGGTAAAAATGTCAAGAAAATTATAGGCTATGCTAATGATGTGACGAGTCGAGTACTCTCCCTACTCGAGTCAATTCGACTCGATACCACAACTACTCGAGTCGGTACTCGAGTACTGGACTCGATTCTTACCTGTATAGCACCGAAGCTCTGTTGACTCGTGGCTGCCGTGCGAATACTGGAAATGGAACTTGTTTGACTCGGACTCGAGTCCCTTTACTCGAGTCGGACAGACTTGGCTCGGACTCGTTTTATACTCTGTGTAGATTTAAGATGAGAGCGAGATAGGTTATTTATCTCACATTGAGTTGATAATTAATTATGGATTTTATTCGTTATTATAAAACTTAGATTAATAACAAACAGTGTCTTGACTCGAGTAAGCAAATTACTCGAGCGCTATGTACTCGTAGCGGATGGTTTTGAAACTATATCTTGAACATTCAGCAGTGTATTGATACGAACTGTCAGTGTCAAGCTAAGCACACAAGCGCTGACGACTCGTAGTGGCAAAATCTGGAACAACATCCGAGTCTCGACTCGAGTAGACATGCACCCAACCCAAGCGCTATGGACTCGTAGCGGCGGATCTAGTAAGCTTTAGTTCACGAGTAATAGTACTCGAGTATTGCCGATTTGGTATCGAGTCGACTCGATACTTCATTGGACTCGATACCGGTACTTAACGAGTCAAGTACTCGACTCGTCACATCACTAGGCTATGCTAAGCCTAGATGGGATAGGCCGACCTAGATGACAGAAAATTTGAAGGCCTAGGTCTAGATGATTGTAGAAATTAATGTTACTGTAACTTAACTTAATAAACACAATAATTTTAATAGTCCTACCCTCCAAAAATAGTCATTATTATATAGATAATTTAAACCTTATTTACATCATTATGTACCCGTTAAAAAATATATCCTTAGGGCTAGTCTGTGATATAGATTCAGGCTCACAGACCTAAGCTGACCTAACCTACTTTTAAAGATGCAGACCATCCTGCTAAATTCATCATATGTATAAGTTATATGTAAATTACATAATACTAACCGATTCAACTGATTGAGGAAATGTCCATGCACAATCTAGAATCACACTTTCACCGGATAAAAACCAAAATTTTACAAAATACCAATCATCAACCACTAACTAGAGCGAGAGCGAGAGCGCGAAAATGACAAAATGATGGCGATGCGATGACGACTACGAAAAAATTGTAAACATCAACATCAACGATCACCATTCCCCCCACCACCATGGCGTAAACATATGGTATGAAGATAGACATTTTGTTCAACAAAGGCCGTCAGATATAAGATAATTATTTAAACCAAGCTGGTATCATTGATTAAGACCAGTGCGATTCATATTTGTTTTATGGAAATATTAAAAAAACTATTTACTGGAGATTTTGTCTAAATAGTTTTAAAAGGTGTTACATTAATAATCATTAAAAATGTGGCTCGGATTCCACTATAAACTGTAGGTCCCTTAAAATACCTACTTTTTATGGTCGCCATTTCACTGAAAAGTATAAAAGTAAAAAGTATCAATAAGTAGGCAACATCAAAACCCACGCAACTTGTCCAAATGTTGTATCGTATCACTGTATCAGTGAGAAACATAGCTTTAAAAACTTCAAATGATTACGAATGGATCCAAGGATAGTAATTTGTGTTAGGGCGTATGTGCATTATAGATTTCTTATCATCCTCATTGATCAGGTGACGGATCTTCACACACACCAGACCATACCTTCCTTAAAACTCGTTTAGGGGTTGTCCCATGGCCACCTTTAACTCCAGGCCGAGGCCTTCGTCTTTAAAGTGGCAACGTCACAAGTAGTGTTCTTTGCAGGAAGCTATTGGTATTTGTGTAATTTTTTAAAATACGACAGATAAGTTACTGGGATATAAAAATATTGACTCTATTTTAAATGTACAGAAATATATTTTCAATTGATATTGTTTTGGTTTTCAATTCTATATGTTTTATTTTCAATATTTTGATAAATTTAAATAAATAATACGCGAAATAATTGGCCGGTGTCATCTGTCTGCCATGTTATGCTATGGGACGTCTGGCGCTGAACAACACTACTCAACACCGCAACGTTGCCAAATCCACCAGGCCGCGGCCCGCGGCCTGAAGTTAAAGGTGGCCGTGCCCCATCCCATACGGTGTAGGCTAAAGAGAATTCATATTGTAGGGTATACTTTTTTGTTTTTGTAACTTCTTTTATTAAACCTAAACAGTCCTAAACCAACCTAAACCAACGATTTCTCTGGATTTCTAACAAAACAAACTAAGCAGTAAAATTAGTCCTAAATAAGAAAAATACAATGTATGTCATTGAAATGGTAATATCTTGGTCAATCATGACCATTTCATGTAATAAAAATTGATATAAAACTGTCAATCTCATTTAAAAATTATTTCATGCAAGTTGGCAAACATAAATGCTTTTTACATAGTAAACTGTCGACAAGTCTTTCTACAACCTTGCTTTGATGGCCTTTGACATTACTAAACCCGGTCTGGCTTAAAGCTCGTTGTCATGGCAACACAGTGTGTGTTTGTTTTGTTTACTTTCGGAATTCGGTTGTCAAAAAGAATATTTATTTGTTCTGCATTCCCTGTAGTGATCCTACTAATTGTTCTTTATTTGTTTAGGTTTAATTTGCGAGTAAAAAAAAAAATCGTAATGACTGAATGAGTTATTCCTGTATTAACAGCCAAAATATACGCTAAACATGTCTTACAGAGATTTAAGGAGTAAGTAACTGTTTCCTTTACAAATAGGTAGTAATTTCTGCTAATTTAGTTACCAAATAATATAATACTGTATATGTTGTACAGTATTTTTTTTTTTAAATAGAAAGCTATGTAGCTAGATATATGTAACTAGGTTTATCATTTTTGAAACTGCTCAATTGTTTATAGATTTTACTGAGATGATGAGAGCACTAGGCTACAACAGACTTATCTCCATGGAGAACTTTCGCTCACCCAACTTCCCATTGGTAGCAGAAATCCTGGTTTGGCTCACACATAGGTTTGATCCTGATGCAGATATTCATACAGAATATCACAGCGAGGACGACAGGGTCATGATGGTTCGGTCTGTCGCAGAATTCATGGTAGGCTGTAGGGGTATATTGTATATTTCCAAAACTAACCTAGAGGCCTCTCCATCTTGTGCTATCCCTTCAAAGTTAAAATCTCCACCATTTTACTTGTGTTCTCCTCATCACTTGTCTCTTCTCTTTCTTTTGCGACTTCCTTTCTGTTTCTTTCGCTCATTCATAATCAACTCCATTTTCCTAGGACTAATGCATTCTCATTAATTCTCACATTTGCCTGAGATCAAGTCCAAACCAATTTAGGTCCACTTTTGTTTTTTAGCGAATTTTCCTATAGGGAAGTAGCTATTACCGTAGGTCTCATGGTAAGACCTAGGCCCGGGACCGATTTACTTGTTCATTTTGATGTCCCCAGAGGCCAAAAACACCATTCGTTCAAATTTGTATATATGTCCATCCGCACGATAACTTGAGTAATTTTTGTCCGATTTTGATAACATTTGGTTTGAAGGTGTAAGGCGGGATAAACTTGAATGAGTTCGCGAACGAGCATGATCGGACCATGGGAACGGGGTTTAACGGGGGGTTTTATGGGGTAAAAATGGTTTTTTCTCATTTTTTACCCTTAAAACACACAATTTATCAATTTTTCTCCAGACTTTTTTAAAGAGCTTAAAAAAACAAATAATTTAGTACATCAAAGTGTTTTTGTACAGTAATTAGTTACGGAGAAAATTAAAAAAATTGTGAATTTAAAATTCCCATGTTATTCTTATGGAGAATATTATAATATGTTGTAGTTGGCTTGTTTATGGATAAATTTTGATCAAACTTGGCGTTTTCATTTATTTCATACTAAGCTTTTGATATTTTAATAAAAAACACACTTTATTAGTTTCCCTGTAGCAGCTAACCTAGGTACTCGTTAAACATAAATTTTAATTGAATAGATTATTAATTAAAAATCAATCCTGGCAAATGGAAATTCACTAAGTCGGCAGGTTTGCTGCAGCGGGGGTATTTCTACTCTCTCTGTTAAATCTTCAATTAGGCTAATACTCTTATGTACTTGCATTCCCAACACGGTTCCAGCTTTGTTTATTTTTAACAGTATGCTACACCATACTCCTTTTAGTAGGACCTATTACATTTTTTTCAATACACTTTACTTGCTTCATACTTTCCACAAATTTTGCCCATTTTCCAGGCCGTCAATGCTGGGGTCAAGTTGAACACCAAGTGGCTCTACCAAGCAGACGGCTATGCAGTCAAGGAGCTCTTAAAAGTTGCGGGACTGCTTTACGATGCTTTGAAGGTTGACAGGTCTCCCAATGAACAGCATAGTCTGATCACATCCTCAATGATAGATCTATCCTCACGAGTAAGTGTGATATAGTTATAAGTCTTAGTTTTAACCTCAACTGTGCATCATAGACTAAGATTGTCTGTGCAATGAGGGTAAAGCACCATACATTGGAAAGCCACTGGGGTACTGCAGTAATAAGAAAATCATTGCGGCCGGATTCAAACCAGCAGGTTGGCTTGTCAGCCTAAGAAGCCAGTGAGCCAGTGTTTACTTTTAGAAGAGCCAAAGGGAGAAAAAAACCTATAATTCTTCAATAGGTATATTTTTTAAATCTAGTTAAAGTTGGGTGGGGGGCTTAGAGCTTACTACCTACTAATTTCCCCATTGGGGGAAGGGAGCTAAAAGCTTACTACTAATTCCACATCCAAAAATCACTCTGAAGCAGCCACATTTAATGTTTTTTAATAGGAGACAAAGAAGAAGGAGCACCAAACTGCTCAACACCATGTTTGACACTAGAGTGTTGAATTCTGCGGTTTGAGCGGTTGCACCACTAGTGTCAAGGTTCCAAATTGCTGTGGGACAATAGTGTCACCACCAGTTAGTTGCTCGCGGCTAATAGCGGCCTAAAAGGCCTGATGTTCAGTTGGTTTTTTGTTTCCCTTAACTGTGAATAATATAATTCATTCATTCAATGAAAATGAAAATGTTAGTAAGGGTTTCTTTGATAAAGTCATAGGCTATTCTTCTAAAATCACTTGACTGTTATGGAAACATAAGTTAGATTAAATGTCCTTGACGTACAAGATTTTTTTAGCCTTAGAGGGCTTTCCTCTGAAATTATCACAAAGAAGTCCATGTTTCCTACTAAAAATTGTAGCACTTCGGCTAACATCCTCGTTCATCATTTGTAGGAATCTTCATCTTGTAGGTGTTCTTCATTATTAGCGAATTTCCCATATAGGGAATAAGCTATTACCGTAGTACTCATGGTAAGACCTGGACCCGAGACCGATCTAATTTTTCATTTTGAGGTCCCTAGAGGCCAAAAACACCATCCGTTCAAATTCATATATATATACTAGCTGACCCGGCGAACTTCGTATCGCCTAAGTTATAGGTTTCCCCTAAGACAGACCGATGGAAAGAAAGTACCGTTACGTTTAATTTTCAAGATGATCTCGTTCGCATCGCTCAATCACGTCCTGGTTGAAGTTCGTTCGCTACGCTCACTCACCTTTGGGTTGGAGCTCGTTCGCTACGCTCACTCACCTTTAGGTTAGAGCTCGTTCGCTGCGCTCACTTGCCTTCAGGTTAGCTCGTTCGCTACGCTCACTCGCCTCCAGGTTAAAGTTCGTTCGCTACGCTCACTCACCTTTTGGTTGCAAATTAGCTGTTGTCATAAATGTAAAAGAAATAATAGTGCTGCACCCTGTTGGTAATCCTTGTAACTTTAATGCTATTGAACATCATAGAACAGAACCAACTTGTTTAATTGAAACAGCTGTTAAGATTCATTAATTCCATTTCTCATAAGGTTAACATGGGAAACTCCAGAGCCACTGGGGCGGAGCCCTTTTAAGAATTTCGAAACGGGAAATAGTTTACGTCCGATTCGCATACCTACAGAATTTACACACCAAATTTCATAACGATCGGTGAAGTCGTTCCGGAGGAGTTTGCAGACAAACACTGTGACACGAGAATTTTATATATTAGATATATATTAGATACTAGTGGCTTGTAGGGACATAAGTCCCTAAAAAGCTCAAATGTAAAACAACTTTTTGCAATACCGGTATTTAAACAAACTCAGAATAACATTATCTATGTGTCAGAATAGGCATCCCTACACCATATTTTTTGTGTAAAAACCAGTTTGTTGTCCTTCTTTGTTTGCTTTTGTTGATGTAATTTTCAATAAATAATTTGAATCACTCCAGTGGTTTAACATGAAAAGGCAGCAAACATATCATTGTTTGTGAATAAATACTGGTTTACTAAGGTAGCTTTGGTCTTGTGGTTAATGAGGATAAATAAAAGCTTCCCTGTTTGGAATTTTAAAAATTCATTGGAGGTTCGCCTTCAGATGAATTGAAGACGCCTGCAATTTCATCTGCAGTAGGCTTATTATACCTACGACGATCCATATTTATCCTGTCTACAAACCTAAGTTCTAATTCACTGTCACCTTGTACAACCATTTCTTCCGAAGCTCTTTTGTAAATTTGTGCAAATGGATTTTCTAATAGAATTTCAGCTAGTTTTGACAATATTTCAGGTTTTAAGTCACTATTTTCTCGACGCCTTTGACGAATTTCTGTTGCTGTTGATGTGTCAATAATGTACAATTGGCCATACACGGGGTCTTCATCATGTTGAGGCAGCAAATCTGAGATTGAACGATAAATCTGTCCTTGAATTTTGAAACAGTATGGTCCTTTTCCTGGAATATCTTTCTTACTGGCTGAAAAATAAGCAAAAGCCATCGCACTGTTGCATTGTCGAATGAATTTATACAGTTGTGGGCTCTCTTCAAACAAACTTTTAAGTTCTACATTAGTTTTTGACTGAGGATCCCAGACAGCACACTTTATCCCAGGGACATCCCATAGTAGTCCCATATGTCCTGAGAATGTCTCGGGATATGTGCGCTATCCTCAGGATATCCCGCAAAATCCCGGGACGAGTACGAAACCCACAGGATATCCTACAATATACCGTAATGTTGTTCAAAGGTTTATTGCGGACATTTTCCATCACGAATGTAAAAAAACAATACACAACGTTTCGGGATCTGGAATCTGATCCCGTCTTCAGGTGAAAAAACTTAACTAACACATTACAACTAACAATACACAAACGCCCAACCTAAGTTGGAATACACTACCGAGGGTAGTAGTCAAAAAATATGCACTGTATAGCAGTCAAGTCATGATACAACATGCAATTAATAACAAATCACAAAACACTATAATCTATAAAAGGTTTACGTATAATCTATAAAAGGTTATAGATTATAGTGTTTTGTGATTTGTTATTAATTGCATGTTGTATCATGACTTGACTGCTATACAGTGCATATTTTTTGACTACTACCCTCGGTAGTGTATTCCAACTTAGGTTGGGCGTTTGTGTATTGTTAGTTGTAATGTGTTAGTTAAGTTTTTTCACCTGAAGACGGGATCAGATTCCAGATCCCGAAACGTTGTGTATTGTTTTTTTTACATTCGTGATGGAAAATGTCCGCAATAAACCTTTGAACAACATTAACTCACCATACCGTAATGTCCCGGGATTTGTAAGTTAACCTCAGGATATCCTGTAAAGTCCCGGGATATGTACGAATGCCATAGGATATCCCAGAATGTCCCATGACATCCCGGGACATGTACAAAATCCACTGGATATCCTGTAATGTCCCGTAATGTCCCGGTAACAAACTGAAGAAAAAAAATACTACCACTAATGAAATGTACAGTATATCTAAATTTAAATGTTCAACAAGGCCAATATATTTTGTTTTTTTCACTAGTGCTTTCAGAAACTTGGTTTCCATCTTCAGGCTGTGTTTACACTAGTACAAAAAGTAAATATTTACTTAATAAATTAATTTTAAACAAAGTTAAAACAGATGATTTAAAGGATATTGGAAAAATTAATCTTTTGAATTTTGGATATGTTACTGTGTTGTTCTTGATGTAATTATTTTCAGTAATTCCGAATTTATAATTGGGCCGTCTTCATTATTTAACAAATAATTTTGGTCTGTTTTTTTTTTCTAAAAATAAGATTCCCACGCATTAAGATGTTGAGGTTTTATAATTTATTTTAAAAGTTTAATTAAGGTTTCCCAGATTGAAAATATGTCTTATTGTTAATACTATGGCTAGCAAGGGTTGACTTTACTTTACTGACATATTACTACCACTGAGTTCAGGAAAACTAGAGTTCTATCATAGTTGTGTGGAATGTGAATTTAATTCTAACTTTAAATTAATAAAACAACAAAAAACTAATTTTAATCATATAACAATCAATTATTACAATGCTAATCTAATGGTGATTAAATAATCTATATTCAAATACCAGTATCCTCTCCAACTACCAGAAAAACAATTCAACTACTTGAGGCCTAAACAGATTAACAGAATCATATATAGCCTATACTGTAGTATCAAAAATATTTTAAGTATTGCGACCATTGCAACTGTCGGCTACTCTTTAACCACTTGAAAACACCCATAATCAACAAGCGCAGATAGCTCAGGAGGTAAGGTATAAGAGGCTCACAAGGCGAAGGTACCAGGTTCGAAACCCGTCTGGGCCAAAAACTTTTTTCTCGTTTTTTTCTTCAAAATTTGTGTTTATTAACTATTCAATCAATTTACTAAACTTATAATTAAGCTTTTCATACTAAATCTATATTATTTTGTGTTTTTTATGTTCAGGCCCAGACCACACTTTATCCCAGGGACATCCCATAGTAGTCCCATATGTCCTGAGAATGTCCTGAGGACTACCCTGGGATGACCTCGGATGTCCCACGGATATGCGTGTGAGCTTATCCGTAGGACATCCCCGGGCGGGGACATTAGGCATTCCTGTGGATATCCTGTGATATCCCAAGTTGACCATAGGACCACTATGGGATATCTTGCATATCCTGTCGCAATATCCGTGGGATGTCCTGAGGAGAAAGTGTGCTGTCTGGGGAAGGTTAATAAGTCCGTTATGGCAAAATGTCATAAAATGATTATTCGTTAGTTCTTCTCTAAAATGAAGAGCACTACATTGAATGCACTCTTGGTCCAATAATCCTGCATCATGGATCTTTACATTTCTCTCGTCTACCATGGGTCTCCTAAAAAGGGGTTGTAACATATCTTGATTAAGTTCGTCATTATCAACTCTTGCTCTCCTACGCGCACTGTCATTCCTATGAACAGTTCCCCGCCTTTGTGGTATTCCCCTGGCGTTCATATTAATTACAGTACTTGTAATGAAAAGAATATATATCCAGCAGACTACATACCAAAACTTCTTGAATCCCTGGTGATTTTATAAAAGTATGATCGAATATGATTACTCTACGTTGTATATTCACTGCACTAAAAAAATTTACTTACGAAGGAATGCAAATACACCATTTTAGAACCAATAACATTTATAGGTTATTTTAGTTGTATATATTTACACAACCTTAACCTTAAAATGTGTAGAAATATAAAGAAAACAACATCATTTAAAATAAACTTGAACATATGATTTAAAAATAAAAACAAAACAGAGGTTAGATTTAATTTCGACTCTTTGATTATTTATACAGAATATTTATTCTATGTCGTTTATTCCTTTAACACGACAATAACATAAAAGCATGAAAAAATGAAACTTGAGTATATGATTTAAATATAAACAAAGAATGTAGACGTTTTTCCGACTAATCTTCAATATTTCAGTTTTATTATAGTATACATTTCATAGTTGACTGGCTAAAAGTAAACCAAATGTGTGTATTGATCACTGTTTTCAAATCTGTGGCACAGCTGTTTTAATTTCAAAAGATGTAAACAAATTAAACCCCATGTTGTTTTAATGGGAAAAGTTTTATTCTGTTGCGAATTTATGGTAAAAAAATAAGGAAAATGAATAGTTTTCCCTCAAAATTCACGTCAAGACCTTTAAAATAAGACCCCTCCCATCCTTCTACGGCCATCCAGTCACTCACAATTTCTTTACAAAAATTTGACTTACGGAATTATATATATAGATATATATATATATATATATATATATATATATATATATATGTGTGTCCGTTAGCGCGATAACTCGAGCAAAAATGATCCAATTTTGATTAAATTTGGTACAAACATGTAAACATACGTTTATTCGAACGAGTTCGCGATCCAGCATAATCGGACCATGGGAACAGGGGTTTATGGGGGGTTTTATGGGGTAAAAATGTGTTTTTCCCATTTTTTACCCTAAAAACAAAAAAAATTGCAATTTCTTTCTAAACCGTTTTGTAGAGCTTAAAAAAAGAAATAATTTTGTATATTGAAGCGCTGTTGTATGCCTAACGGTCACGGAGAAAATTCAAAAATAGTTTAATTTAAAATTCCCATGTTATTCTTATGGAGAAAATAAAAATTGTTGTAGTTTACTTGTTTATGGATATATATTGATAAAATTTGGCAAATTTATTTATTTCATCCCATACTATTCACGTATGATCAAAAAACACTTTTTACCTTCCCCGTAGCAGCAAACCTAAGCACTTGTTAAATCTAATGTTATTTAAATAGGGAATAAATATGTCTTATTTATGGAAATATTTGAGTAAAAATGTAATCAGACAAGTTGAAATTCGCTTAGTCTGCAGGTTTGCTGCGGCGGGGGTATAAAGGCTAATAAACGATAATAAATTCTTAAAACAACATTACCTCTATCTATTTCTTTATTTGGTGGCGTTCTATGACTTGTTATGTGTCCATAATTTGCAAATCGGTTCTATCATTGATTGTCAATATAGTACTGTGTCAATTCAATGTAGGTACTTATTTGGATAATATATCAAATGGTCTAGGCTTTTCTCACTTTTTTTCCATTTGTTATATGTACGCAAACCCAAATTCAAAGAGTAAATATTTAATTTCAACCAGGTCAGTAAAATTAGATTTTATTAGGACGCATTTTTTTGAATTGCAACTTTAATATTAGGCCTAACAGCAATTAAATTATCCAGCTGATCATAATGTAAACAATTATGTTCTTCATAAAGATTACATGGAAACTTTAAACCCACTGGAGCAGAGCCCAAGGGCCTTTTTTAACAAATTAAGGCCAGTTTGCAAATCTACGCAACACCCTCTATTCCGATGAGACATCAATGGTCAAAATTGGTTAAGAATTGGTGGAGAAGTTTAAAGGACAAATTTTGTGTTTGCGTATTAATTATATAGAAGATAGCTAGTAGGCCTATTTTATTAATTCTATGTAAATTAAACTTGGCTCCTGAACTGTGATGGTGCCACACAAGTGCACATCAGGCTTCAGCACACTTCAAGAAACTGGCAACTGCTTAACCTATATACCAAGAGTGTGTATTTTAAAACGTTAACAATTGAACTTTCTTAGGATATTAAAGCAGGATTCAAATGTACAACATTCTTAGCTCATTACAATGCCACGGTCTACGTTCCTGACTTTCATGCACTTATCTATTTTGAAGCTTTCAGACTTAAAGTTAACGCGAGAGCTGGCGTCCAGGATCACAGCAAAAGGAGCGTCCCTATACCAACTACTGGGGAAAGAAGTTCAGTTGAGGGTGAGTTTTCTATTTTTTTTTAGATATAGTCCAATCGAAACACAACTTGGGGTTGAGGCATTATCACTTGGATAAAAACCATTGGTGATTTGGCGGAATTTGAACCCGTTACCGAAGTCCCACGCTCTAACCTATTGGTCAGTTCGCTCCCTGTTGCTTATACAAAAATTGTAATAGGTTGGACAGTTTTTCCTCTAAAGCGTTTAATGTTCTCGATCACAACACGCCTTTAGCGTTGAATCTCACAAAACAATATACAATTATTCTAGGGTTTAAACAGTTAAGTTGTTAAAAAAGTTGTTGAAGTACTCATTTTTTTGTCATTTTAGGAAGAGCGGTTGGCAAGCGTGAGTTCTCAGTTGGAGCTGTCAGTCGTAGAGGAGGGCCTCAAAGAAGCAATCACTACCAGCAAAAACAGTGTTACCACCACTCAAGTAAGGAATATGAATTTAAAATTTAAACTAAATTAAAAATATTTTTTTAAATGGAATCATATTTGTTTGAATACTTTAACTTAATCTTGTTTGTGTTTGTATGTGCTTGAATCTGTAGCCTGACTTGTAAAATAATTTAACTGTCCATTAGTTAATTTTTTGACAATTTAGTAAAAAATTATTTGATCCCTTACATAATTTTTTTCTAATATCACTGATATTTGAAAATAACCTCTCGATGTGGTAAATTGTGTAGTTGTAAATAAAAAATATTGACACTTAAGTATTAAAAATACCAAAATCTTTATACATTTCACAATCAGAGATTTATGGGCTAATTGTTGTTGTACAAACTAATAAAGCTGTTTTTGAATCTAATTTTATTTGCCCTAGATAATTAATTACATAATTAAGATACGATAAAAAATAATCCTAACTTATGAAGAAATAAAATATTATTTTAATTCCTAACTTTTCAGGCTGCCATAGAAAATGTTGCCGCAACAGAAACGAGTCTTGACGCCAAAATTGAAAAAAGGAAACAAGATCTTGAGCGCAACAACAAACGATTGCAAACACTCAAAAAAGTCAGGTGACTACCAAAATAAAGATCAAATTGAAAGCTTTATTTATGTTAACTGCTAATCAAAGTCAATAGACTAAATAATCCTAATGGTAAATCACATATGAAGTATGTTTTTTAGTAAACACTCGCATCTATTCAATTTTCATTTTCATTGGAAGATATTCTTGAACACCCAACTAAATTAATTAACCATCATTTTAACAATTCTAAAACTCTTTTCTTAACACATTCATTTCTGGGAACTGCACTCATCTGTATGTAGAGTTTACTGGCTCCCGGTAGTAAACCTGATGCTTGTGTAATAGTACAATAGGTACTATACAATTGCATATTAGAGGTAGTAAACCAAGTAAAATTGGCAACATTTTGTAATAATATACATTTCTTAAGCTGAAAAACACAAAAGCTAACAATATCTCAGAGCCCTAATACTTTTATGCTGGACCAGTAAATAAAATATTTTGGAGGATAATGCATAATCTCCCACTATCATTCCTGAACCTTAACAGAATTCCACAAGAGTTAACATAAGATTTAAAACAAATGATTACCTTTAGTTGGAAATGTTATATTGTTATATTCTCTCATAAACCTGTTTTTCTACAGTTTTAAGGAGTTTTACTACTAAAACTACCTAAAACAGGAATACCTTATGTGGCATGTGAGGTTTGTTTTGACTGATCCACAGACCAGCTTTCCTAGAGGAGTTTGAACGTCTAGAGGTGGAATTGCGTCGTCTGTACCAAGACTACCTTACCAGGTTTCGCTGTGTTGCATTCCTCGAGCAGCAACTAGAAGATGCTGAGCTAGCGGAGCAGGATCGTTTGGAACTGAGACAGGTTAGTTTTTTACTCAGCTGCTAAATAATGTAATGTTTTTTTATCTGTGATTACCTAAAGATGCTTGTAGAGATTCTTAGATTAGGTACTCTGGTACATTTGTATACATAATATGCTGCTGGTCAAAGAAGCAGCTCTAATCAAAATATTAATAATAGACACCACTTGGCAGTTCAGTTTCATTATGCCTACTTTTATTTTTACTATGGACATGTAGACGCGCGTCGGTCGTGTGCCGAGTCTCGACTGATAACGCTCATTTAAAAAATGTCAGTTTCCCAGCCATATACAACACTGATTCAAGGTATTTTTTCCGGTTATCAAAACTCAAGAACAATTTTATACACAAGAATCTCTATTTTCATTTACGAATGCCCTACAAATTATTGCACTTGCGATTAATTAAATCCGTTATGTAAGGAAAAACGATTTTAATCTTACTTGGTTTGGATTTGCTTTCAAAACGTGATCGGAAATAGTTGCGGTATTTGTAAACAACATTCAATGTAAACATATCAGTAACAACTAGAAGAAATAATCTTGATTCAAACAGCTGTTCCTTATTTCATAGATGAATAAATGTGATAAACATTGGGAAAACTTTACAAAAAATGGCACAAAATTGGGTTTTTAAATGTCCGTCATTTTATTTACAAAGTGGTGACGCCATGTTTTAATGGCTAAAGACAATCTCGCCAATCCAGTGAATGCATTAAAATGATTTGGAACTTGATAGGTACTCTCGTTTTTCAGGAGAAGGCCGCGTAAAATGGCTCTTGGGCCGTGACAGACAGGAAGACAGACAGACAGACAGGCAGAAATTTAGATGAGACTTGTTTCGGTTTCTTTAATGTATATAACGTAAAAATAACCTAAAAGTTTATGATTCTGAGCAATGTACAGACAAAACTCTAATTTTATTTATATAGACAACTAACTTGGATCTATCGTTAAATTGTACAACCTCGATTGGACACTATAAGTTGAAATAAATACAAACAATAACTTTCTTTCCCTACAAATACTTAGGTTGAGTTTCTTATTGTTGAAAGCTTTTAAATATTTATAGGGGAAATATAAATATGCAGTCACTTACAAAATCAGAAAATACCTAATATAAGGAAAATTTTAAAGTATTATCATTGAATTTGTACTGCTTGGATCTGAAAAACTTAGTTTATCATACTGCAACCAGTTTTGAATTTGAATGTTTTAGGCGGCAACGAGAAAGATGTTGGAGAAAATGCGGCAGGAAGAAGCTTTAAAACTGCTGGATGATGATTTGATGGACCCAAGCTCAATTGCACCAACTGAGCCTTTGGAACCAACCAAAGCAGTCCAGTCTCAAGGATCCAAAATAACTAGAGTCAGGACCTCAACGGGTGCTGGTAAGTTGAAATATTTGGCAAAAAGATTATAATTTGTAAGAACTTCATGTGAATATTAAGTTGGATTGTAATAATATCCAGTTAGTTATTACTTTATCTAAATCTTGTTTTTTGTTGGAAAAAGCACTTGGCTTAGGAATTAATAAAATGAGAAGGAAACACATTCACATTTAACTCATATGATAAAAAAAGGTCAATGCAGCTAATAAAAAAGTTAACTACACATTAAACTTGATATCATACTCCTCCGATTGGTTCTTCAGATAAAAAGTAAATGAGTTATATTACTGCTTCATTCTAAAACAACCCCTTAAAAGGGCGAAATATCAAGTTTGATTCAAGCTAAGTTTTTATTTTTCATCAACTGCTTGAAACTTTTCTTCTGCGAGTTTGTTGTGTATTGGTTCCAATTCTCTTTAATTTTTACCTCAATCTTGTGGTAATTTTCTTGGATTTCTCTTTATTATATTGGTAATTGAAACAGTGGCCAATAAAAGGTGGTTTTGATTGTTCAAAATATAATTATACGTAGCAAAATGGTCAGAGATCACATGTTAAAGTCGAATGGTTGCTGGTTCGAACCTCTGTAGGTCGAATCTGGACCCATAGACCATTAAAGAGTCCAAGTAAGAGTGAGTCCAAAACCAATTGAGATTAATTACCTTGTGACTTAAACTATGGATTCTATAAACCACAAGTAGACTAGATTGAAACTTAGGCAAATTCAAAACCGAAGTGATATAAATAATTAAATTGCTTGCAAGTGCTGTACAGTATTGCACTTTTTATAACACGTGTTTGTTATAATTTTAAAGTAAGTAAAACTATTAAGAACTATCGAGAATGTAGGTTACGAGTGACCAAGAAATGTGCGTCTGTATTTATGTTTAGACTCAGGAAAATGTCCAAAAATATAATCATTATTCGATTCCTCAAACTGTTTCAGCCGGCAGTAGAGTGTATGGTGGCATGAACGTAGGCGAAGACGAGAGTTTGGACAGTGATAGCGATCTGTTGTTGGATGATGACAACGAATCAGCTTCCGATGACGATTTGGAGCTTCTAGACCCATCGGGAAACCTGACGGACCACTCGGACGATGACTTCTAATTGGGTAGACCCATAGTAGTTTAAGTTATAGAAATAGAGAATAAACATATCTATATCCAAACAAACTTTTTCCAAAGAGTACCCTAAGCTTTTCTTACCCTTGAAGCCCTGAGGACATTTAGATAATTGTTTTAGTGTGCTAAAATATTATACTAAACTACACTCAAAATCAAATTTAGGACAGTAAAAATCGAGATTCTCATAGGATTATGTATTTAAATGATATTCAGTATCACAATAATTTTACAACTAAATACAAATGTAACAATAACGATCACAACCATGTTGCCGCGTAGGGCTTGAGTCAGATTTCTCGTAGACACCTAGTATTTACAAAGTGAGCATCTCATGAATATGCCCCATATTATACAGTCACTCTTCACATTCACTTGTTGATTAATGTGACAGGATGAAGGTCGTTGGTACAGTCATCACTAGAATTGCGGGTGCAAGTACAGTCAAGAATGATTTTTGTCTAATCTGATTGGACTAAAGTGAAAGTGTACAGTAATATCTCACTGTTTTCTAATCTAATTAGATCTTATCCACAAGATCTCTTGCTAGAGAGCTCTCAAGCTAGAGTACAGTCAAACCTGAAAGGAACAAAATTATTTTTGTTTTCTTACCCAATTGTAATTATGTGCATTACTTTTATTTGAACTCAATAACATAAAATAACTTTTATGTTTTCTTTTTGTGACTGTCCTGAAATCTATGTTTCAATAACCTTCATCCTGTTGACTCTAAATGCCTTTAAGATTGTAATGAAGTGCTTATGGTAACCATAAATATAGCCTAACCTAGACTAGGAATGAAACCTAGAAACAAAACCTAGAATATAACATAGAAAACAATCTGTCAAGAGAGTTTTGTCAGTTGATGAGTTCATTCATAGCCAGGAGTAATTGGAAATTACAATAAAAATGTAAAATTTGTGTACAACTGAATGAAAAATGTTGCTGCAATTTGTGTAAAAGTAGCATAGTTGTTAACTTACAGCTTTATTTAGTTTTGACATTTCCAAATCCTTGTTTAATTATATAATTTCCTTCAACAATGCATTAAAAAAAAAACGAACACAATAATCCCAAAGACAAGAGTTTGTTTCGTATCCAACATTTTTCTCTAGCACTCAAAATTTAAAAAAAGATCAGCAAGTTCACTGATTTAAAATTCTGAACTATTTTAAAATGAAATATTAATATTTCGTTAAATATAAATTGCAGCATTCCAATGTATATTTTAAAATGTATAGAATCCTCAGTCCATAAAAATATTCCAAGTAAGCAACTGTAAACACGCATACAAACACATTCATTCAAGATTCTTTTGCTTTAAGGGTGGCCATAAAAAATCTTTTCATGTTGCTTTGCATTTCTGGTAAAAATATACCGTGCTTTGACAATGGATTTGATGTTGCTCAATTCTAACCAAACTAGTTAAAAAAATATATTACTAATGTATATGAAACACAACGTGAAAGAAGAACTCTAGGCAACAGTTATTTTTCTGTACACGGTAACTAAAACTAAATACAATTTTTGAATACAAATCCTAAACACTACTTATTGCTTTGATTGTGTCAATACAAAAAGGTTTTAAATTGAATAATTTTCCATGTTTAATTAGAGTGATTAGATGTAAAATACTAATGAAAACTTGTGAATGATATTTAGTCATATTAAGTTGAGGTTCTGTACGTAGAGCAGTGTTTCCCAACCTTTTTCCGTTCAGGGCACACTAACTAGAACAAGTTTGGAGTCACGGCACACTTGTCTACAAAATACCGTTGGTTAAAATTACATTTAGGCCTAGTAAGTGCATACAATTTTTTGTTCATTTACATCTTACTCCGTATAACCTATTTTTTACTAGTAAATATATGTATGTATATAATATAAAGGTGGGTTTACCAAGGTAAAAAAAAATATAAAGCTCACATTTGTTATCCAACATATGTACATTATTTAGTGTTTATTAAGTGAAAAGTTTTAAATAATAATAAAACATTGAGCTTGATTAAAATGTTGTATGAATTTACCAATAATGAGTGAGAAATATTAAATAAACCCTGGTTTCAGTTCTAGTGAGAAACTTGTGCTTGACGTTTGTTTGGGTACAGTTTCTTAACTGGGCTATGCTAATGTTGATTGAAACTATTGATTTGATAAGTAAACCTTCATGCGATTTTTTCACTATCAGCAAGTTTGGTTGGTTAGGTTAGGTTATGATAGTTTAATTTAATAATAGATATATTTAAAAATATCGATTATTAATCAATATTTTCAATTCGATAGTTTCAAACGATATTTAGCATAGCCCAGTTAAAAAACTGTACCCGTTTGTTTATTAAAAGTTTCTTTCTTGATCAAAAAATGTTTAACTACTTAAAATTTTGCGGCACACCTACAGGGGCCTACTGGCACACCAGTGTGCCGCGGCACACTGGTTGGGAAACACTGACGTAGAGGTTGCAGAAAAGTTTGACTCTTCTTATTTGAAACATTGGCTTTGATTAGCCCTGAGATTGTTGTTTGTTTTATACTACTAATAATGTTTTGCAAACTTGTGCAAGTTAGATCTATTACAAACAGTTAACCGTTTTCTCAATACTATACAGTTTACTTTCTTTTTTGGTAACTCTAGCATTAGGGACACTTTGTTCACTATTGTGCTGGATATTAAATCTTTACAACTATTTTATTCTTTGGAATATATCCGTGGCACTCAAATAGAAATAGATTTACGAGTCCATATTTTCAGCCATTTTAATTTCCAAAACAGCACAAAGCATTTTTTATGGCACAAATTACATATATTTTTAGAGCATTCTCTATAGAGTTACCCCATTAATAACAACGAGAAAACACTCGTTGTGTATTCCGTTTCTGCTAGTCCGATCTCGGTGAAGGATTTGGTAGAGCTTTTTTATGTAATACCATAACTATTGGATACTGAAGTTGTTTCAATAGTCAAAGGTAGTTCTGTATATTTATGAACATACTAAGCTTCTGTTTCAGGATTTAAAATGGTCAAATAAATATTTTAATTCACTGAAATTTTAACAAAACCGATATGTCACTGATCAAAGGTAAAATTTATGAGGGAGAGAAAACATTGTGCAGTTTTAATTTGTCTACATCTGTTCGGATTAGGCAGATTTTCAATTCAGTGGATTTTGGAATTGGACTCTACTATTTACTTAATAAACATAGGTACATGTTGTTCAATTTATCCTAGGCCACCCGACAATGACTAGAAGAACTATTTGAGATCAGTAATCGGTCAAGCACCAACCATTAACCAGCAACTATTTCCGCAAAGTGACTAGTTGCTACACATTGCTTTGGTTGATTCAACTGGTTGTATTGCATTGTTTGCCGGTTTTACGATATGATTAGTGTCACATTACGTGCTCACTGATCGTAAGATATGACATCTGCTCTCAGATTTTAAGTGATGGTTTACACCTGACAATGAGGTTAGTGTTAGCTGGCCGCAGATGGTGTTGGAACCTTGTGGATCGGCTTGGCGGTTATTTCCGGCAGCCCACAAACCGGACTAGTTCGGTTCCATTGATCCCCGACTGCTCGTATGAGACGGTCTCGGTACCGGCAGAGTGTTCGATCCACTACACTTGCTGATCGTACACAGTCGTCTCCTCCAAATTCACAAACCCTGTAAAAGGATTATGGAAATGGAGTTATGCAATCTCTTTAATGAAAATGAATAACCTATATCTGCAAGTAAGTAAGCTAACCAAACATATAATTTGACATAGAATGTATCTAATAATTCACAATTTGTTTGGATATTTATTATTATTAGGGATTATAAAACACTTGATATTCAAATTTCAAAATCTTAAGGTTACTAAGAGAGGTTACCACCTAGAATAGTGGTTTCCAAATACCTTGTTGCAAAACATGCGAAATCCTTATGTTTTTTAACTTTACTATAATTGTGAAAAAAAAAACAGTATTATATTGCTAATAACCAAATTCATAAGCATTCATATAAATTAAAAATATAATGGAGAAAACAAATTTTAGAGTGTTTATTTTGAGTAAAAATAGTGTTTAACCCATACTGCAATTTTCATTACATGAGTACTAAAGTATTGACAACCCTATAGTGGGAGTAAATACTACCGTAAAAGTGAACTTTAAAATAATGAAAAACCTACAGAGAAAATAAAGTTAATATTGACAAGCCTTAGGTAAAAGTGAATATTTAATTATTGAAAACCCTTTAGTAAATGTGAATATTCAATTATCGACAAACCTGTAGTGTGAGTGAATATCTAAATATTGGCAAACATATACAGGTAGTGAACGCAAATATCAAGATACGTATTGACAAACCTGTAGTGATGCATGATGGCAGCATCACCTGGGACATTGACAGTTCCATGTCCGGGAATAAACTCCCAAACAAAATGGTTCCCCACCTGCCAAAAAAGGTTCTAATGAGAAAAATATTAAATTTTACTGAGGCAACATTATAATTCAGTTCTTTTCCATAGTGAAAACTTACGGATTAAACACACGTTCAGAATGCACCTTGGGGAAGAAGAAGAGCGAGGTATGAAAACTTTTGTGGACCACATTGAAGGAAAAATTTGTTGATCCTTAAAAATATGTGAAAGAGAACCAGCATAATGGAGAACTAGTGATGTGAAGTGAAAGGTAGAAAAGGGAAGTGTGATGAATTAGTGGAGCAGGAAGAGAAAGCATGTTGATTTGAAAATGATTAAATAAATTGTCTGGGTTTAGTGAAGGGTGTTCTCTGAAACCTATTCTATTTTAATTACTAAAGATATGCAAAAAGCTTATGTTGTACTCAAACCTCAGCGCAACAGTTTTATCCCGTAAAACAAAATTTTTGATTAAAGTTTATTTTGAATTAAGTTCACCTCATATAAGCTGGACAAAGTTTGAGAAAATTTGAAGATAATAATTTATAAGAAGTAGTTATGAGGAACCCTGAAGGAAGGCCAAAATTGGTGGGAAAAAGTGAAGGGAGACAGAGCAGATAAGAGCAATAGACGGGCTTTGATGGTGTGGTTAATATCTCCTTAGATATGCATGGCACTGGAAGTAATGAAATAAGTATAAACTTAAATCTATATATAAAGCCAAAAGTACCCATGAACTTTTGAGAAAACTACAAGTCACACCCCCATAAACCATATACTTAAAATGTTTGTCATGACGAGAAACCTTGCGCAAAACTCCATTATTTCATAAATTGCCCTTTAAGGTCGTAATTCCTTTCTAAAGGGAACTTTTCATATACCTAATGTTAAAAATACTTCAGCTGTACTTATTTGTTTGTTATTCTTTCAATTAACGAGTAGTCTCTTATTAAAATCAGGCGTGATTATTTGTTTCTTTTAGTGTACCGTATTTAGTTTATTTCAGGTTAACTTAACCAATCAATAGTTTTATTAATACTTATGATGTCAAACGGGGTGAAGCCCGTGGGTAACAGCTAGTTTTAATAATGTGCAATCAAGTGATGGTAACCTCACTACAAGGTCCACCTGGAAGGGGTACTTATATATTTTCAGGGTATAAAATAAATAGGGTTTAATTTCCATTATAATTAATTATTCACAGTAAACCTCTTCACAGCACCATTGTTATTTGTTTCAGTTTTAAATTATTTGTGTAAATTTAAATTTAGAGATTGTGCAATATTGTAAATTTAAGTACCAATGTTTTGCGGGGTCTTGACTGGAATAAACCCAGCCAGATCCACACTTAATGAAAAACGTGCTGATTCCACTTCCCCATAGCACTCACGAAAACCCTGCCCAGCATAAGCCAGCTTTGATAGGTCTCAAATAAATAGATTAACTACATCTTATTCAACTCTAACTACTCCTCGCCATTGTGAAACGCCTGCAGCAACTTGCCCTAAACATGATATCGATAACCGTAAAGTTTAATTTAGTTACTTGAATTAATTTATTGTTGGTTGATCTTGGTCTAATTTAGAAAAAGATATGATTCCCCTTACCCCCTTTATCCCCCAAAAGATTAATTAACTACTTAGACATTATGGGTACCTTACTATCTGTAGAGTAGACCCAGGAGTCCTTCTCGGTGTGTGGTACAAGCAAGACAAACCTGGTTGCCGGCGGTTGGTCCTTTCCGGCCGGAGCGCTAGTGTGGCTCCGAGTAGAACTGTCTGCTCGCCTTTGGATCAGCTGATGGGGTTGACTCTTACCTTATACCATAATTGTTGGCGGTGATGTGGGTTATCCCCACAGCTCTCCCCCGCTCCCCAAAAAAAAGGGCTGGAGCTAGGATGCTGGACCTGGAACTTCTGGTTAAAAGGGGCAAGAAAATAGTGTTTGGGGTTTTGGTAGGCAAGATTGCTGCTTGGGCCACACTGGACTGCAGTTCCAGTGGTGGTAATATACTTTGTTGGCGGGGCTTAAAAAAGGCATTAATAAATATACAAATAGGATAGTAATCCATAAACAAATAAATAAATATCAATAACAAATAACAATGAATAGATAATTTGAACTATAACAATGCGATGAAACATATATCTTAATGATCTATGATCCTGTAGGGCGCTTTTATGCAGGTTCGCTGCCCTAAGGTTGGCATGTTGATCACAGAACTAACTTAATCTACTTAAAACTACCGGTTTGAATATGAGAGATGTGTTTGTGTAAGGATTGGTGTGTTAGTGTTGGTGAGCGTGTATTCTCAAACTATTTCGAAATAGGTTGAGGGGAACAATCCGCTCTTCCCCACGATCATTAGCCCCTGAACTGCGCTAAAAGATGAAAAAAGTTTAAAAAAAAGGCTAGGCGCAGTTCACGGTCTAAAAATAAAATAATTTTAAATATGCGCAAAAAATGAATTTACTCTAAAACCAATGACGTGGAGGAGAGCTGCAGCTCAGGTTGTAATGGGCGATCGCTAAACCCTGCCGCCTTCTGAAGGGCGTGCCTACGCGAAACACGACCTTAGTCACAGTTGGCGACAGGTGCAGGCTCCATCACAACCCTGTGTGTGTGTGTGTGTGTTACGGAGTGAAAAATTGTACAGTATGGACTAACCTAACTTAATCTAATATCACCAGCTGAGAGGGTTCATGAGATGCGTGAGTTTTGATTTAACGGGTGGGTGGGGGTTTAATTGATGTGGTCGTTCGTGGAAGTCCCTGATTCGGGTGAAAATAGTGCTTGAGCTGAGAGACATGAGCTCGCCTCACAACTTTTCCTGTCTTTGGATCCATTAAAATTACTGTGACAGGTGATGTGTAGGCCTGTATAATAACGGGTTGTGACCAGAGTGGAAGCAATTTAGCATTGATTTTGTTGATTGCCTTGCTCTGGTGGTGTAGTCTAAACATGACCCAATCGCCTATCTTGAAGGATGGGGGGTGTCTTCCCTGATTGTATTGTCTTTCGCGGGCTTCTCGTGCTTTAGTTAAATTTTGGTGCGCTTGTACCCATTTGTCCCTGGTTGTTTGGGGGTTTGTGTTGTAATTTAGTAATTGGTCCAAATCCCAGTTTAGTTCTAATGGATGATTGATGTGAAAACTTAAAAAAAGATCTGCTGGGGAAAATCCGGTGCTTGAGTGTTTGGCTGAATTAAAGGCTATTTGAAAAAGATGGATATTTTGGTCCCAATCAGTTTGATGATCTGAGTGATAAATTCGAATGGCTATTTTGATGTTCTTATTCACTCGCTCGGCATGGCTTGGGTTTGGATAGTATGGAGTGGTGGTTATGTGGCGGATCCCTAACTGAAGACACATGTCTGAAAATTCTTTAGATGTAAAAGACGAAACGTTGTCTGACACCAGATATTTTGGGAAGCCGAAGTAAGCAAAAAGGCCTGAGCGTAGAAGTGAAACTGTGGTTGCTGACGTTGTGTTCTTGGCCGGAAGAAAAATGGCAAATTTTGAAAATGAATCGACAATTGTGAGAAGGTATTTATTTCCTTTCTTGGAACGTGGTAACGGACCAATGTGATCTATGAAGATTTTTTCAAATGGTCTTGTCGGTACCTCGGAGGATAAGAGTCCTGCTCTAGTATTTAGGGCTTGCTTAGATCGTTGGCAGAAGGTGCAGGTTTTGACCATGTCGGTTATGGTTTCCTTAAGGGTTGGGGACCAAAAATGCTGCTCGATTCGAGACCAAGTCTTTTTGATGCCTAAGTGAGCTGTGGTTGGGGCTAGATGATAATATTTGAAGAGAAGTGGTATTAATCGGTCTGGAATAACTACTCTGGGTTTGGTTTGGCTCGGAAATTTGTGTGTCAGGATGTTGTCTACCATTGAATAGTTTGGTGGGGGTTTTTTTCCTTTCAATGACTTAATGATTTGTTGTGTAACTGTGTCTTCTGACTGATGTTCCCTAATATCTTTAAAAGCGTCTGGTAATTTAAATAAAACATTAATTTGATGTGTGTGATCTGGTGTGGGTGAACAAGCTACGGGTGATGTGATTGGGGGTGGACAAGCTATGGGTGATGTGATTGGGGGTGGGCCTTCCTCAAACATGCGAGAGAGACAGTCGGCTACTACGTTGTCTTTTCCCTTAATATGATAAACTGTGAATTGAAATGAGTTGATTAGGGTGATCCAACGTGCGATCTTGCCTACCTGTCTAGGATGGTTCAAAAGCCAGGTTAGTGCGTTAGAATCTGTATATAGCTCAAAATGTCTATGTTCTAAATATACACGGAATTTCTCGAGGAAGTGAGTTATGGCGAGAGCCTCTAATTCGAAAGCACTGTAATTTTTCTCGTGTATGTGAACCATATACCACTGGTAGAAGTGCATCGTCGTACCTTTGGGACACTATTCCACTAATGCTAGTTCTGCTGGCATCTGTATGCAAGACAAAGGGTAGATCAAAATTTGGCATCTTAAGGACTGTAGCCGAAGTTAAAGATTGTTTCAATGAATTGAAGGCCGTTTCCTGCTCTTTTCCCCAAATGAACTTTTCGCCCTTCTTTTTGAGTTTGTTTAAAGGAGCTGATATTTCGGAGTAATTGGGGATAAATTTAGAATAGAAGGCGGTCATACCTAAAAATCTGGATAACTGTTTGAGTGTTCTAGGGGTTGGAAATTCATCTATGGGTTTGGTTCTAGTGTTGCTAATTGATAGGGAGTTGTTTTTTATTTGATGACCTAAAAATTCGATTTCCTGCGAAGCTATGACCATTTTTCCGGGATTGACTGTGAGGCCTGCTTGTTCGAGGCGACGAAGTACCTCTTGGATGTGTTGAACATGTTGTTCAAAGGAGTCTGAATAGATCACTAAATCATCGAAAAATGAAAAAACATATTTAAATTTGATATCACCTAATACTTTGTTCATCAAATCGTTGAGTACCATAGAACCGTTGGCCAGTCCAAAAGGGACATAATTAAATTCATATTGGGCCCAGGGGACCACAAAAGCTGTCAAGG